CGCTCGCCCACCCCGCCGGCGCTCCCCGGCCGCCCCGCCGCGCCCCCGCTCGCGGGGGAGCCCACGAGCGGCAGGGCAGCGGGCGGGCACCAGACTCGGGGCGCGGGGCTCGAGGGGGCGCTCGCCCGGCTGCGCCCGCGCTTGCGCCTCCCGAAACGTGACGAAACGGCTCCACCTGCCGGGCGCTTCGCGGAACGGATTCGAGTTTTCCGGGCGTGGGAGGCGGGCTTCCGCGGCCGGCGAGGCGCTTCCAGCCAGGAGTGACCCGCCTCGCGCTCCCGGCGCCCGCCGGCTGCCCCACCGCTGAGCATCACCTGCCCTGCGACCGGCGGGACCGCCCCGCACGCCCGAAAAGCTGTGCCCGCCCAGCAGCTCTCTGCACCGGGAAGGCCAGGAGCTCAGGCGGAGGCCTCTTCCGAGCCACCCACCCCCGGCGGCCTGGGCTGCTTCTGAACCCAGAACTTCCATTTGTGCTACATTGTTAAGCGCATCTCCATCCATGGTGACAACCTTCAGCGCTAGTTTTAACTGTTCTGACGTTAATCAGTGCCAAAGCCAGGCAGTGGTTGCCCTCCCATCCGGAACCCGCATTAAGAGTAGACGGAAGGCTAGACTGGGAAGCGAGTGTGCAGGGCGCTGGCTGCACGATTCCTCTTTGCAACTGCTAAATGGCTTCCTGCACTGGGCAGGGAGTAGGACTGCATGCCCGGAATGGTCCCTTCCAGCCCTGCAGCTCAGAGATACTGGCTGTGCTTGCACAACCCAGCAAGCAACCTGCCTCATTACCACGGTTCGTGCTGCTTTTTAGCTATCAAGTGGTTTCTAAGTTATCCTGATTTCCATCCTTCCCACTGAGGCACAAATCCTATCAGCCACTGTACCCGAAATTCCCTCTCAGGGTGCCTGCACTACCCACCTCTTCATCACTGGACACCAAGCTTTAGATCTTGCTCTGGCTTCTGAGCTGTGGGCACCCACTCACGCCCCCCAAAAGGCCTCTTGGGTAGGAAGTGGGTGGAACGGGCACCTCTGACAATTGCACAAGGCGGCGGATGCCAGTGGCTCTCTCTGGCCCGCCCACGGCAAGGGCCGCGTGGGCCTCTCTTGCCAGGCACCTCTCTGCTCCTGACCTTGCCCCCGCAGTGTGCCCATTTCCTGTATTTTTGGGGCTTGGACACACAAAGCCATCATGGTCCCAAGAAGCCATGGGCCAGCCCATCACGTATGGCCCTGGTCTCTCAAAACTGAGCGTTCTGTGCTGAAACCACACAGGAGGACTCAGACGTGCAACAGACGGACAGTCATAGCAAGCAAGCAAAACAGCATAGCTTGTCATGTCATGTGGGCCCAGCCAAATAGGGCTTGTCAGCGTCGCCTTCTCTCGCTGTGGGGAGGCAACACGTGGGGTGCTGCAGGACTCAGTCCTGGGCCCAGTGCATTTTTAGTCACGATTTGGGTGAGGAAATGCAGGGGATGACGACACACGACTGGGTGGGATCCCTCACACCCTGGAAGACGGGAGGTTCAAGGTGCTTTTGACAGGTTGGAACGCTGGGCTGAATGAATGAAACAATGAAATTTAACAGGGACAGCTGCCAAGTTCTGCTTCCTAGGAAAAAGAAACTAAGTGCATTAGCTACACGGGGGGGGGGGGGGGTACTTGCTTCAAGAAGCCTCTTGGATTTTCAGTACATCACAGACTGAATATGAGCCAACAATCCAATGTGGCTGCAAAAAAGGCAAATGCCGAATCACGTGAAGTGTTTACTCAGCACTGGTTAGGTCTCATCTTGAGTCCTGTGCCTAGTTTTGGGGACCCCCATTTTAAAAAGATGCAGACAAAATGGAAAAGGTTCAGAGGAGAGCAGCAAAGTTGATCAAGGGCCTGGAAGCAAAGGCCAGAGGAGAAACTGGAAGAAATGGGTCTGTTTAGCTGGGGGTCGGGGGGAGACCTGATAGCACTTCCAAGTCCCTGAAAGCCTCACGAGGAGGAGGGCCAGGAGCTCTTCTCCATCATCCCTGAGTGCGGGACATGGAATGATGGGCTCAAGTTCCAGGGAGCCAGATTCCAGCGGCACATTAGGAGAAAATTCCCGACTGCTGGAGCACGGGGCAACAGGACACAGGACCCAGGGAGGGTGTGGGCTCTCCCGTGGCAGAGGCATCCAGGAGGCAGTGGGCGGGATGGCCTGGCTCAGGGCTGCCTTGGCCGGGCGGGCGAGGGGCGTGTGCTGCGACCCACACGGGAAAGGTGTGCAGACCCGACGGAAGCACCCAGAGTGTGGTGAGCGCGCTTTTATTCAAGCACTTAAAACACGCGGCCAAAAGACAACACACATGCAAAACACAAGCCCAGGGGCATGAGGGCAGGCAGTTCCCCTCTTTGCCATGTCAAATGCACATGCACGGGTGGACATGACTGGCCAGGAGGTACCCCAAGGGAGGCTCCTCTGTGGCAGGAGCCCCCAACCACAAGGCCCCCAGCTCGCCACCCCTCCTGCCACCGGCTGCCCTGGAGGAGCAGGGCCGGGTGACCTGTGGCCGGGCCTGCAAGGCTCTCACCCCCAGCTCACAGGCATGGTGCTCCCACATGTGGGGACAGCCAAAGCCCCCCTCCCCGTTAGCGAGGCCGGCTTCTGCCTGGCCCCTTGCCAGGCGAGCACCTCACTCGGTGCTCAGGGCTGCTTTGGCTTGGCATCCTGGGGTGTGAGGCGCCTGCCCGTCTGATAGAAACAGCCGTGGTCTGCAAGAGGCCCAGGGCACCCTCCTCTCTCAAGGCAACGTTGGGGTGTTGTGGTCACCCGAGGAAGTGAAGGAGTCTCATGCCGGGGCACCTTCGCCTCACCATTCCCACTCTGCCTTGGGGAAGCCCATGAGCGTGAATCCACTCCTGTTTCGGTAAAACATCTGAGAAGAGGCCTGAGGCCCGGAGGGAGCAGTCAAGTGGCGTTCTAAGTATATGGAGGCACCTGCAACCGATCTGTTTGCATGCATCACAGCTGCCCAGCTGGGGAAGGCCGCACAGAGACCAGAGAACATGCAAGAGACAGGACAGTCTCCGCAGGAAGTGTAAGGGGCATGACTGAACCACTGCCCAGGCACCTCCCCGCCCAGCCTGCCTGGAGGAGGCCCCAGCGCCCTCCCCAGGGAACATGACCCACCACCTTGGAAGGCACACGGTGGGCATTTCCCACGTGCACTTCGGTGAGGAGGAAAGGCTGGGCTTCCAGGGCATGGGGACGCTGCGGGGCGGCTGCCAGGGAGCGGGAGCAGGATTGAGAACCAGCCTTTCCTCTGGTGGCGTCGGGAGCCGCGGAAGGCGCCAGCTGGCCCCTGGGCCTCCCCGGCGCCTGTCCAGCCCGGCAGTTCAGATGTTCTGGCAGCAGGGCGCCTGCTTCCCCTCCTGGTGCGTGGGCAGGACCCGGATGGGTTCGATGGAGCTGCTGGGGCTGAACTCCGCCTCGGGCTGCCCGCCGGCCATTTGCCTCTGGGAGACGATCCGGTAGATTTCTGGAGGGCAACAGAAAAAGGGCAGCACCGACCAGGTCAAGGGGTAGCTGGAGTCCAGCTGGGGGACCAGGAGCGGCAAGGAACGAAGGCGGCAGCACAGAGCCCCAGGGTCCCCAGCACGGGGCCAGCAGACCCTTTTCCAGGCGGCA